GGAGAAGCAGGAACTTCCTTCCTCAACTGCGGAGATAGAGGATCGCGATGGCTGTCAGGAAGGACCGTCACCCTGTCACCTCGTTCGTCCCTTCCGCCTTAGCCGAATGTTCCAACTCTCCACAGTAGAAGAAGGTGCAGGGCAGTTAGTTGCAGTTGCAGTTGCCCAGCGAGGCAGCAACTGCCCGCCCACATCCACCTGCCTAAATCTGGTTCCGGCTGCCGCTGATTGGCTCTGTTGAACCGTCACTGTCATTCGACGACCGGGCAACCCCTGGCTAAACCACGCTAAGGGACGCCCAAAGGCAGGGGGAGGGAGGTATCTGGTCTTCTAGGCTCTTTCCGATTTTTTCTCAAAGTGCAAACCCATTCATTCATCCAGAGGGAAGAAACCCGACGAAAGAAAGAAACGGCCGGACACATTGAAAGAAACTTAGACTCATCCTTACGGGCCCGCATCGGTGGGACTTCTACGGACCCAGCAACACCCCAGCGCCACCATCCGTCAAGAAACGTCGAAACATCAGTCCAATCATCGCAGCAACACGAGAACAACCACCAGGGCCACCTTCAATAGACTCGTGAAAAGAGGACCCCAACTCCTCACTTGAAGATCCTCCGCACTTCTAGCGTCAACCCGTCGTTACAGTCCAAGGTACGGCCTCTCTCCCCCTTCACGTCTGTCTCCACCGGTGAGATCATTGACAGCAACCAGCCCATCCGAACCCGTCTTCCGCCGTCTGTCCCGTCTCCATGGCGGCCATGACAGCCCATCACGCTAGCCCTCGGTACGAGCTGACGGAGGGCGCCATCGCCGGCTCGCCATGTACCCCAAGGGCCGACTGCTGCCCGTCGACTGGCCGATGAGGTGCCGCCGTTGTGGTGTGAGTGGTCCGAAGCTAAGCAACATCACCACACCCACCATCGCCTACCTCCACCACCAATGCCATGATGCAGCGGCCCAGCCTGCAACCCAAGGTGCCCTACCCTAATTCTGCATGCATGTACATCAATGGATGGCTGGGTTAGGCTACACAGCTGGCTGGGTCCATGGGCAACGGGACATCAACCACGAGGCGACTGCGGCTCCAGCACCAAGCTCGTATTCTTAGCCTCCCCGTCACCGTGGATGGAGCGGATGAATGGGCCATGGGTGCATCAAGCATGGGATCGCTTCCGCCCGCCGCAACCCCGACTTGGCCCATCCCATCCACCTCACCCCGGAGTCATGGCTTCTCATAAAGGCCGCATCGCTGCTCCGGCACTCTGGTTCTTGCCCCCTTTCCTCCTCACCCACGGTCGCTTCAAGCCTTCTGGCAATACTACTTTCGCTTTCCACTGGTAGACTTTCAAAGTCACCGTCATTCGCTTTCAACAACACCCGAAACCAACTCAAGATGCGCGGCCTCTACATGGGACTGGGCGCCATGGCCCTGGCGTCCGTCAACGCTTGGGAGTACCCCTTCTGCGTATGTCTCTCCCCCGTCACGTGAGGGTCTCCATATCCCGTGACACTCACTAACACAGCCCAGGAGCACGATGGCTGCTACCGCAACCTGATCGACCAACGCTTTGAGGAGGAGGCCAAGACCTTCTGCGTCGACTTCCTCCACGGCACCACCACTGCTCCGTCAGCCATCCCAACTGACTTCAACAACTGTGGCGGTGACATCAAGGCTGTCTCCTCGGCGTGCTCTTGCATTACCTACAGCATCACCAACACCGTCCCGGCCACTACCTCTTCCGCTCCCGCGACCTCCAGCACCCCCATCATCACCACCTCAAGCAGCGTCTATGTTACTCCCACGCCTACTCCTACTCCGAGTAGCACCAAGGAGCACTCCACCAGCACGTCCTCCGAGGACTGCACCACCTCCACGACGCCGGTCAGCAGCACCTACGTCCACAGCTCGTCCTCCACCTCGGACTGTGATACCAGTTCTTCTACCGGTGTTAGCAGCAGCAAGCCCGTTCACACTCCCACGACTTCTTCCGAGGTGAGCAGCTCGAAGCCTGTCCACACCCCGACCACTTCCAGCGAGGACTGCACAACCTCGACGACCGCCGTCAGCAGCACCAAGCCTGTTCACACTCCTACCACCACTTCGACTGAGGACTGCACTACCTCCACCGAGGTCAGCACCACGAAGCCAGTCCACACTCCCACGACTTCTTCCGAGGATTGTGATACCACTTCCACCTTCGTGAGCAGCACCAAGCCGGTCCACACCCCCACAACAACCTCATCTGAGGACTGCACCACCTCCACGGCGGTGAGCAGCACCAAGGGCCACAGCAGCTGGACTACCAAGACCTGGAGCACCAGCAAGTCTTACAACTCCACGACCGTCTCCACTGAGGACTGCACCACCACAACCACATCCACTGAGAGTTGCACCACCACAACCTTCATCACCAGCACGAAGCCCGTCCATACCCCAACCACCACCTCCACTGAGGACTGCGATACTACATCGACTGCTGTAAGCAGCTCGAAGCCCGTCTACACGCCCTCTACTTCTACCGACTGCGAGTCCTCCACCGAGGTCAGCAGCACCAAGGGACACAGCACCAAGAGCCACCACTCTCACACCGTCCCTACCTACGCTCCTCCCACGACCACCCCATGGGCCAACACCACGAGCAAGCCCCACCACACCAAGACCACCGACAAGTTGACCACCTCGACCATCTACACCACCCACGTCGAGACCATCACCAAGTGCCCGCCTCACGTTCCCCACTGCCCTGGCACTATCACGACGGTCACCGTCCCCGTCTCGACCACCATCTGCCCCGTGACTGAGACTTCCACGCCTGCTCCCCCTCCCCCTCCCCCGACAACGTGGACCACATCCACCGTCTACACTACCCAGGTCCACACCATCACCAAGTGCCCTCCTGGAACTCCCAACTGCCCTGGCGAGACTCACATCACCACCGAGACGATCCCTGTGTCAACCACCATCTGCCCGGTCACCGAGAGCGTTCCTCCTCACACCTTCAGCACCGTCAAGCCCGTTCCGAGCAGCCAGCCTCCTGCTCCTCCTGCTCCTCCTACTCCTCCTGCTCCACCTGCCAGCTCTCCTGCGCCCCCTCCCGCGGGTACTCCTCCTGCCGGTACTCCTCCCCCTCCCCCTGCCGGCACTCCTCCTCCCGCTGGAACTCCCCCGCCTCCTCCTCCTGCTGGTACTCCTCCTCCCGCTGGAACTCCCCCTCCTCCCGCCGGAACTCCCCCTCCTCCCGCTGGCACACCTGCTCCCCCGGCCAGCAGCCCTGCCCCCCCTGCTAGCAACCCCGCTCCTCCTGCTAGCAACCCTCCCGCCCCTCCTCCGGCCGTCACCACTCCCCCGGCTCAGACCACACCGGCTCCTAGCCCTAGCAAGACCACCACCCCTCCGGTCCAGGTCACCAACGCCGCCGGCCGTCTCGGCTCCGGTGTAGTCGCCGCCGCTGCCGGTGTCGTCCTTGCTGCCCTTCTTTGATGCGAGTAATATTTATGGATGTATGGATGGAAAAGGACACTCGGGCCAGCTCGCCCATATCATGACCGATATTCAGCGTTGTATTTAATGTATAATTCTATGAAAATAATGTTCAGACGACAAGGTGTGGATACGGGATATGGAGCAAATGTTCATATCACGTCACATCATATTATTCAATAAAACGAAGTAGCTTAGACAATACCCGTTGCACCTGACCCAGAGCTCATGTGATGTAATCAAATGATGATAAACTATCCAACCTCTGAAGATGCAAGAGCGTCTGCCATGTTTCAAAGGTTACATGATCAACAACAGGTTTCGAATCGAAAGTCCAACCCTACTACATCATATTATTGTGGCGTAGAAGCTTACTAGGGAGGCATAGCCAAGGCCGGGTACTTTCCTTTGTCGAAATTACACTGTAGTGTTGTACCTGAGTGGGTTGCTCCCAGCCTGGAGGGTCTGGGTGAGGTTTCGGCGCCGGAGTGGGGCCAAGTCCGACTCCACGGCTCCGGGACTTGCCTGTTCCAGCACTACCAACTCAGGGCAAGAGATTCAAAGATCCCAGTGAGTACTGGATCGCCATGCCAACTTTTCAGTGATAATTCTTCTAGATAAAAAAGAAAACTGCTTTGTTTACATTTGGCCAGCTCCTTCCAGCAAATGCTACTGTTTCCTTCCACGGCCCCCTTTGAATTCTGCCTCAATGATAATAAGTGGCCAACAACGAAACGAAACAACCAGCATCACACACTCTGCCATCACCCTCCAAGTTCCCACAGAAGCATCTTCCTCAGCTGCTCCTCCATCACATCGTCCTCGACAACCTGCCCTCCACGTGACCAGCTGCATCGCATCCCGTCGCCCCTTGTCAATGTCCCTTCTCGACCTCTTCCTTCCCACCCCCAAGCCCTCGGCCCCATCTCTGACCTCCCACCTCTTTCTTGCCAAAGCAGGTCTGCTCAAGCGCCTCCCCACAGACACCACACGCCCGGAAACTGGTCTTGCTTTGCTCGATTGCTTCTTCCCTCCCACCGTTGGTCTGACTCCACAGCGCGCGGAAAGGGCCCCGTTTTGTGCAGAGAGCGCGTCGTGGTTTTTGCCGGTTGTTGTCGTTTTTCACTGCCTTGGTGTGGGACGAGTTTGCTGTTGAAGGAGAGACGGTTGCTGTGGCTTCTCGACCGCAGGAACTTCACAAAATCACATCGACGTCTTGGCTTTCCTCAGCTTGACTGTTGTCCGTCCCGCGCGTTTTGGGATTATTCTCGTTCAGGTACGTCTCGCCTCATTTTTCACTCGGCGCATCGGGTTGATTACCTGGCTCGTGGGGGTTGCTGGCCTTGCGAGACTGCTCGTCTGTGAGTAGGAACGCAGTGTCCAAGTTTGACGACGTTGGAGGAGGCTTTCCTCCCGCTTTCTTCGTCACTTATATACCCAAACATCATGGCAAACATTCTGACACCTCCTTTGGCAGACTACTCGCTCTGTCCAAGTCACCGCACCAAGCTCCAAAATGGCCGACATCTTCCCATTCATCGACGAGACCCTCGACTGGTGCTCCCACTACGTCAACCGCATTGAGACGCTTCGGCTGGTGGAGGCTGCCGCTCCTCCCGGCGACCAGCAGCGTGAGTACCGCCTCATTTTCGAGAACCTCCGTGCTTTCTTCCTGGGTCGAATGGTACATGATGAGAGAGGCAAGAGATAGAAGAGGTCTGATGAGTTGTTGCCTCGGTGCGACCCATGTGATCTTAAAAAGTTGCTCTGATACCTTCCTCCTACACCATATCTTTAGAATGGGTTTTCGCATGGCTAACAATAGGAAATGGCAGTGCTTCAGAAGATAGCTAGCACCAAGAAGGAGTACATGGACCACCTTGCCGCTCTGGTCGCTGGTACGTCGTCGCTGTTCCAGACTTACACGGCATTGATAACTGATGTATGGACATAGCCACCCAGATGGTGCTGAAGACGTACACGGCCCACAGCGCCGCGGCCGCCCCAGTCAGCGCTTCGGCAGATACGGTCTCATACACGGACACTGGCGACGACAACAAGGACAGTGTCAGTGCTCCGAGTGAGTCGGAGTACTACTCGGCCACGGAGGAGGTTTGAGTTTCGGCGCGGGCCGGAGTCTCTTGTTGGTGAGTTGATTTCTGCTTGCACTTTAGGACGGGGATGCGTTTGGCGTCATGAATTAATGCTTTCTGGGTTCAAACTCATGCTAACGGTCTGCGTTCACAGATAAACCTCCATTGACGAAGAGGACTCTCTCTCCTTTGCTTGGCTACACGGCAATGCCGCTGTCCCTCTCCGTTGTTGGGAAGTGATGAGGCACAGGGTATACATGAATACAAACCGGCATCAGAAGGCCCCGTGACTCCCCTGTTTTTTATGATTCAGTGATATGCGACGGCCTGTGTTGCGTGACAGCATTTCATTCAGCTCCTGAGAAGGATGCGAGAGATGCATTCGTGTGTCCCAATCTATGGGATTCTCCAGGCCAAAGCTGTTTTGTAGTCAGCCGCTCGTCTTCTGAGGCTAGTGTGCTGTCTACGGCAGCGTAGCAGACGAAGGCTGATTCATCGGTTGAATCCCAGGTTGCTGTGCTACAGAATGTAAAATCATGCGCAAGATCTATTTTTTTGCCATCTCTCTCACCTTCATATCCAGAATACGATGGTGATAAAGAGAGATGGGGGACTTGGCTGGGCGTAAGGTTTTCACCAGAAGATTGAACCACCTGTTATCATCTTGTGTAATTGATAATCATCCGCGCAAGCATCGGAGCCTACACAGCCAGGAAACGCTATGTTTTCAGCAAGTCATTGTGCCGTGAGAGATGTTTCGACATACTGCCACTGCTATATATAGTCACATTGGCTTCCCCGTCTGGACCGCTCCTTCATCGCCCGCGGCCTTTCCACCATCCAAGAAATGTTTGAACACTGAACCACGCTCTCGAGATGCATTAAGCATTACGTGCTTTACCATGATACTGCTGCTTGAAAAGGGCTCTGAAGATCGGGAAATTTCGACTTTCCAGCAGAATGGGGCTCCTCAGCCTCTGGAGAGCGAGCACGGGGCCTGGGAAGCAGATATGACCATTCGAATTAACACTAATACCGCTGCCATGTGCTTCATGACGAAAAGCATAGTGTAGGTCGTTCATACTGTCCTCTATCACTGCCCGGTCATGGCACCTGACGTGTATTCCTTTGAACGCTCTCAGGGCAACAGAGATGTGGTCAAGTCTGGCGAGCTTCCATATTTGTCGTCAAATGCCCACCTGCATGTCCGCTGAATGAATCGGCGTATAAACTATATAAAGCTTTGTTGTTTCCAAAATCAGATAGGTTGACAACGCACAAATGTAGTGTCGGACATCTCTGAAGTTCCATGGAATAGTCGGGATTCTCGTCCCACTACCCTCTCCCGCCTGGTCAATCCAGACACTCTGGTCCGAAAGGTTTGATTTCAAACATCCAGTATCCAGTGTTCCTGTCCTCTGAAAAGTATTCATGTTCATCTCAGATGTTTTCAGCATATTCTCCGCACCAGGGCTTGCCTTCAACGCTTCAACTCCATATGGAACGTCTGACTTTGTTCTCATTGGGTACTGAAGGTGGCAGATAACACAGCACTCCGAAGCGCTGCGATCTACAAGCAATGAAGGTAAAGTCAATGTAGCGGCCGTAAGTAGTTACAGACCGACAATGTAACCTTGGATCTGTTTCAAGTAGATAAAAGAGCTGATGTGTCGTGGGATCTCAGAACTCGTAGCAAATACATCTAGTGAAACATCAGGTGAACCTTGGGTGTCAACTCAACCATCGATCAACATCAGAGGTTTACCGAACCGTTTTAACACGTTTTATTCCGACACTAACGTACTCGAGTCTCTGATCCGCAAGCCTTCCGTAGTATTGCCTTATAATACTACGAGGATTATGAGAACGAAGTCCAAGCTTATGTGACTCAAGTTCGTCATTCACGCTGTGACGCGCACACATAATTGACGGGTGAAGTTTGCCTGTCCACCTAGCTCCACAACGGGAGTTTCACGCTGAAGATGTATTCGGGCTTGGTTCCCACTGAATCACTTCCGATTGACTAAATATATATAAGTTTTGTCAGGTGCTCTGGGATGTTGGCGCTTCCCAGAGCTGCACTTCCCCTGAGCTCTGTGGATAGCATGTCTGTTGTCGGCAAGTGGTGCAATTATGCTGCGGAGATTCCTGCTTGAAGAAAACTTTGCTCTATTCAACTTGCTTCGCTTGCCATTTTCTATGGAGTGTTCATTGAAGGCCATTGTCGGCAACGCCAGCCCATCGCAGCGTTAATTGAGCTGGGTGCGCCTTATGTAATCAGTGATTATATAAGGCACCGCCCTCTGCGATTAACGCTACGATTGCAGCTGCTACCTCTAATGCAGTTAACCTTATATATATCACCACTAATATAGTTAATATAATATAATATTTACTACCTATAGTGACCCTTACTAGCTAGCTAGTCCTATAAGACTAATACTAATTAGTAGTTAACTTTATAGTTACTACTATGTAATATATTAATTAACTATAGATTAGTAAAGTTCTAGAAGAAGTAGTCTTATTAATATTTATTTAGATCTATTCTACTTAGAAATGCTTAATTGATCGACCTATACTAATAAGGTAGTTATAAACTTTAAGAAAGATAGCTTATATTACTTAAGCTACCTTAAACTTACCCTCCTCTAATTTCTAAGAAGAGTATATTAATACTAATATTACTAGTACTAATAGGATTAAGTAATATCTCCTTATAGTATTAATAATAGTAGGATTATAATAATAACCTTTATAGCCTTTAATCTTATACTTAATAGAAGTAGTTATAATATAACCTAAGAGATAGTTTATTTTACTTAGAACGCTCTTAGTAATTACTCCTACTTCCTACTTAAAGAGTATCTATTATACGTCTAACCTTTAATATTAATATCTACCTATTAACTTATAATTAATCGTAAGGTTAACTTTATACCTTACTAATTACCTCTTTTAACCTCCTACCCCTTATAAGTAGAGTTTTTATACTATATAAATAAATAAGAGATTACCCTACTTTTAATAGCTTTTAACTACCTTCTTTTTTACTAAGTTAATATTAATAGTAAATAGCTACTTTAAGCCTATTTAATAATAACTACCTATATATAGTATATAGTATACTCTACTATAAGAATTTTCCTACTACTTAACTACTAAATACTAACTACTAACTACTAACTAAGAAGAGAATTTTTTATTATCTTTTAACTTTATTAACCTATACTCCTTCTATAATACTACTATACTACTTTTATATCCTTAAGAGTTTACTATTTTATTAATAATATTACTTATTAAACCCTACCTACTTTCCTTAATTACCTTCTATAATACTCTTTTTTTACTTTAGTAAAAGCCCTTCCTAGTCCCTATACCTCTATCTTTAACTACTATTAAGCTATATTAAGTTAAGTAAGTAATAGAGTAGTAAATTATCTACTAAATAAATAAGCTCTAGTTACTTTAATTTCTAATTAAGCTTTTTATAACTATAGTATAATAAACCTTACCTACTACTTAACTTAATACCTCACTCTATTAATAATTCCTTTTAATAATAGCTAACTCCTCTAACTTAGGATTATTACCCCCTCTACCCCCTTTACTTCCTCTTAGCCCTCTAGTTAATAACTACTTTATCTCTATCCCTACTTAAGTTTATAGTATAGTTAACTATAGTATTTAGGGAAAACTTAGTAATATTAACTTAGAGTTAAATACTACTATTTAATAGTAACTTACTTTATACTTTCTATTTAATATAGAGTATTATTAACTTAATAGCCTTATTAGCTCTACTTTTTAGGGTTAGGTATATATTAATTTTAAAGAGGTACTAGAGTCTACTTTTACTTATTATAACCTTATTACTATAAAGGACTTTAGAGACTTCTTTATTACTAATAGAGTTTATATTACTATAAATAGTACCTCTATTACCTCTAATATTTATACTACTCTTTACTAAGACTTCTATAAATAGACTATAGAGGAGATTAATAATAAGGCCTCTAAGATTACTATTTTTAAGAAAGCTATTAGAAATACTAACTTCTTTAATAATATTTAAGGTATTAAGCCTAAACCTCTCTTAGTACTTCTAGTTAACTTTATTTATACCTCTACTAGTATAGTACTATCTTTTAGCTCTACTTAAAATAGATTAATTCCTTTTAGAACCTACTAGTTAACTACCTTTATCCCTCTAAGTAACTTTAATGTTAATATTACTAACTATAACCTAATTAACTTAGCTATACTTAACTAACTATCCCCTTATTAACTTATAGATCTTATAAAGTTATATTATAATAATATACGCTTTAGGGGTAATATATATAATATCCTTAACTCTAAGCTTCTTATTTTTAAAAATTACTATATTAAAGTAGGTATTAACTAGTTTTAAACTTTAAGCGCCTTCTCTATTATACTTAAAAATAAGATATTTAACTATTATTATAATAAGCTCTATAGTAATAATACGCTTATTAACCTTACTAGCTTAGTTACTAAAGTTAAAACCTACTTTAAGACTAAAGAGTTCTATTAAGTATATCTCTCTAAGTAATATAGTACTACTTTTAACTATATAATCTTAGAGAACCTTAGTAAGACTAAAATAAAGTACTTTAAGATAGTATTTAATAAGCTTATTACTATTTAATATACCCTCTCTATTATTTATTGCTCTAATAATACCTTTTATAATTAAGTTCTTAGTACTTACTGAGGTATACTTAAGTATAACTATACTCTTATAAGCCTTACTAAGGACTATAAGAGTGTTACTAACTAGCTTTAATTATCTATTAGTATTATAATATAAAGCTAAGCTTATAAGTACTTTATAATAAATCTAGCTCTTATTAATAATTAGTATTAGACTAATTATTAATATAATAGCTATAGTTATAGCTCTTAATTTAGCTATCACCTATACGCACCTTATAGTTAATATTACTTTTAACTTATACTTCCTAAATCTAAAAAGAAGTACTATATTTATAGTAAGAT